TTGCTGCTGATCTGTTTGATGTTGCTGCTGATCTGTTTGATGTTGCTACTGATCTGTTTGATGTTGCCGCTGATCTGTTTCATGTTGCTACTGATCTGTTTCATGTTCGTGCTGCTGTTCGACGTAATGCTTTTATACTACTAGTGCTTAGTGTATATTAGTTGATGTTTTTCTTAGTTCATTTCTTAGATGGGGAGTTGTGGCGCAGAGTTTAGAGAAGGTGGGCCTGTGATTGGAAGATCGCCGGTTTAAGCACCGGTACCGAAAAACATCAAAAATGTGGGCGGGGTAGGTTAAGCACCCACACCTGTCCCCACCCTCATTTGTCCCACCCTGGGCCCTTGAGCAAGGCCCTTAACCCCCACCATCTGCTCCTCCATGTGTCCTAGACAGCAGCTCTCTGCTCCACACAAAGGCTGTGGTAGCTCGGTGGTCTGTGGTTGGGTTAGGAAGGACATCCAGCGTAAAAAATAACTGCCAAGTCTTCGTGCGACTTAGTTCACTGTGGCGACCCCTAACGCGGGGAGCAGCCGAAAGAAGAAGAAAAAAAAAAAAAAACTTAGATCTTATTACTGTATTTTTTTTACATTTTATTGTTGGATGTAACTGGGACCCTGTGAACTTAATCTCGTTCCACCACATGTACCACATGAGGTGGAACCACAAATAAAGAATCTTGAATCCTTGAAATGGCATGTACTTTATTCAAAATTCTATGGGGGAGTACCCTCAGAACGCCCCCCCCCACCCCCCGAACAATAGCCTAGAAACAATACAAACTTGTTTTAACTGGTCATGAGGCAGTGCTAAGAAATATAAATGAAGTTTACACAATTGTTGTTAAAACTAAAAAAATAAAAATCAGTAAAATCGATTTCTCATGCAAGTATCGGCCGATTTCCCAAGATTAAGGAAATCGGGGCAGATAAATCGGTGCGCCCCTAGTTTGAACAGAAACTTTAATTTTAGATTCAACATGCCAGGTGTTCTTAAGATTGAACATGTCCAGAGGAGGGACAGTGGTTTGGACATGTCCAGAGGAGGGACAGTGGTTTGGACATGTCCAGAGGAGGGACAGTGGTTTGGACATGTCCAGAGGAGGGACAGTGGATATGTTAGAAAGATGTTAGAAATGCAGCTGCAGGAAGAAGACACAGAGGAGACATATGGATGCAGTTAAGAGAGGACATGGAGGTAGTTGGAGTGAGGACAGAGGACAGAGTGAGATGGCGGAGGACTCGCTGTGGAGACCCTGAAGAGGGAAAAGCCGGAAGGAGGAGAAGAAAAAGGTGAAGTAAAAGAAGGAGGAGGAGAAGCAGAAACAGAAGGTGGTGTTCTTAAGATTTTATGGGGTTGTCTCTTGGTTTCTTCTGGTACTCACCATGCCCGTGTTGAGGTTCTTGTCAATCCGACAGAAAGTGTGCGGCGCCACCTCCCCTTTGCTGGGTAGCAGCAGGGCGACGTCGGTGATGCCCAGCGAGTGAAGACCCTGAGAGTCCAGAGCCCGGCGGTAGGTCAGGAAGACACGGTGAGCCGTAGGAGCGCCCGCTGAGCTCAAGCTGGCCGAGCGGCTGTAGGGCGTTGTCTCTATGACGTACCAGCCCTGTTTGAGAGATTCCTTCCCCTCGTACAGAACCCTGCAGGAGAACATGTGTCATCATACAGAACTGTGTCTCTGTCGGGTCGGATCCTAAACCCTCCTGCTGCCCTCTGCTCAAATGGATCATGTGTTTAAACTGAGACCCTGCGGAGCACGTAGACCCCTGGACAGCAGGAGTGTTTAGGTCCAACAGAAGCAGAAACTGTGAAGTGTTTCACCCCAGGTCCAGGATTGGAGGTTTGTCCCGTCCTCGGCGGTAGCACAGGTACAGGTGCGGGTTGTTGATGAGGCCGGCGCTCAGCTCCGCTGAGTGGCCACCCAGGGTCTTCTCAATGCACGTAAAACCCTCTGGGACATCCTCCCCAAGACCCCGAGCGATCACCACCAGGTCTGTCACCGGCTCCACCACCCGCATCGACAAACAAGAGGAGGAGGAGGTCTTCCCGTCTTCGTCCAGAGTCCTCCAGGGCCCACCAGGGTCCAGACCCGCTACTACAAAGTAGTCCACCAACTGGGGACATTTCTCCTCTGTCATGCCTTCAGTCTGAGGTCCACTGCAGGGACAGAGAGAGACCAGAGTAAGTCCTCTGAGGGGTTTATGTCTTTAATATTATTCATGTTTATTTATGTTTACTTGTCAAATCTTGTTCAGTGAGACAAACAAAGACCAAATCTGATCAGAAACCGTATTTGATGTTAGTTCGACATATTTTATTAATTCCACCTTTATTTCTACAGGTGAGTCTCATTGAGCCTCTGGGACTCATTTACAAGAGAGACCTGATTTAACAAAGAATGATGACAACAATGGACAACAACAATAAACAACCATAAAGGATGCGTACAAATTGAGAAGAACAAGTGAAAATACAATTGTATGTTTAAAAAAGTAAAAGAAACAACAACAAAAAAAACCCAGCTAGATAATAAAGCGATGTAGAAAACTAAAAACAGGAACATCTGCAGGAACTTCACAGATGTTTGAAGCCACTTAGAGAGGTCAAAGGTCGAGAGCTTCAGGTCTTTTTACAAGATATTCCAGGAAACAGGAGCGGAGTAGGAGAAGGTCCTTTTGTCTAGTTCAGTCCTCACTGAGGGAACACTGCAGGTAATGATGTCCTGAGAGCGCACGCTGTAGCTGCACTCACACAGAGACATGTAGGAGGAGATGTATGAAGGCAGCAGACCAAGAAGTGATTTAAAGATGAAAATGTACCAGTGGGAGAGTCTGTGTGAAGTTAATGGTGACCAGTTAACCAGTGAATACTGGGTGCAGTGGTGGGTACGGTAGTTACAGCCAGTTATGAATCTTAGTGCACCATGATAGACAGCATCCAACATCTGCAGCATCCAACATCTGCAGCATCCAACATCTGCAGGATGCTTGTATTCATCAACATTAAACACTTTGTGTTTCTGTTAACGGGTTATTTTCATGACTGCAGGTAAACAAATATAACTCTGAATAAATCTAAATATTGTATATACATTAGGGGTTGAACGAGTATATAATTTTTAAACTCGACATTAACATAATAAAACCCGAGTAGAACTCGAGTATTTGATGATGTCATAGATCTCAAGATACAAAAATAAATAAATAAATAAGTAAAACCTCAAAAAAAGGTAATTATTTACACAAAAAAAAAGACCAACAGAACATTGGGAGTGTATATTATGCTCCTACCATTTATCATACTGCAAATAAGTCACAGGAAAAACTAAACTATTAGTTATTATTATTATTAAACTGCAAACTAAGCACGTCAGAAACGAAACTTAAAACAGTGGATGGGTGGTGGATTGGACCCGGTGTTACACCATACTCTGTGACCAGTGCAACACCGCCCCCTAGGGTCATACGGTGGTCACATAATATGACGTCACTACGGATACTCGACATAGCATTTTTAAACGCGATAGATGTCCTGGCAATCGATGTGTAGATTACTCGAGTACTCTGTTAATGCCCTAATATATATATACACTAGTCCCTCATTTATCACGGGGGGATCCATACCCTGAAGCCCCACGATAGTGCAGGTCCACCAGTTTTGAACTGGTGGACCTGCACGGATCCAAATTATCCAGGTGAGATTAGATGGAAGCCCAGAAGAACTCTGACGCAGACTCCGGTTTTCTTTCGAGCAGCTGCTCCTCGGCGCTTCACAGCACGAGAGGTTTCCTCCATCTTCCTCCTGCTGGTCCATCCTCCTGACCCTGTCCACCCTGGCTCATCATCAGTTCCTGGCAGCTCCTCAGATTATTGTTCAATAAAAATATGACATGAATTATTTAACACGGTTTGTACCAAAGTTTACTTCAGAACAACAAGTGTGATCACTGGTCAGATCACTGGAATGATCACTGGTCAGATCACTGGTGTGATCACTGGTCAGATCACTGATGTGATGACTGGTCAGATCACTGGTGTGATCACTGGTCAGATCACTGGTCAGATCACTGGTCAGATCACTGGTCAGGTCACTGGTGTTATCACTGGTCAGATCACTGATGTGATGACTGGTCAGATCACTGGTGTGATCACTGGTCAGATCACTGGTCAGATCACTGGTGTGATGACTGGTCAGATCACTGGTGTTATCACTGGTCAGATCACTGGTGTGATCACTGGTCAGATCACTGGTCAGATCACTGGTCAGATCACTGGTCAGATCACTGGTCAGATCACTGGTCAGGTCACTGGTCAGGTCACTGGTCAGGTCACTGGTGTGATGACTGGTCAGATCACTGGTGTGATGACTGGTGTGATCACTGGTCAGGTCACTGGTGTGATGACTGGTCAGATCACTGGTGTGATGACTGGTCAGATCACTGGTGTGATCACTGGTCAGATCACTGGTCAGATCACTGGTGTGATCACTGGTCAGGTCACTGGTCAGATCACTGGTGTGATGACTGGTCAGATCACTGGTGTGATCACTGGTCAGATCACTGATGTGATGACTGGTCAGATCACTGATGTGATGACTGGTCAGATCACTGGTGTGATCACTGGTCAGATCACTGGTGTGATCACTGGTCAGATCACTGGTCAGATCACTGGTGTGATCACTGGTCAGGTCACTGGTCAGATCACTGGTGTGATCACTGGTCAGGTCACTGGTCAGATCACTGGTGTGATCACTGGTCAGATCACTGGTCAGATCACTGGTGTGATCACTGGTCAGATCACTGGTGTGATCACTGGTCAGGTCACTGGTCAGATCACTGGTGTGATCACTGGTCAGATCACTGGTGTGATCACTGGTCAGGTCACTGGTCAGATCACTGGTCAGGTCACTGGTCAGATCACTGGTCAGATCACTGGTCAGTGGATCAACATGCAGTGGAAGTTCTGCTGTTCTTCTCATCTGGTTCTGGTCCATGAACAACTGGTTGAACCTCCTTCAGTCTCACTCGTCCTCACTGTGTCTCTGTCTCACTCGTCCTCACTGTGTCTCTGTCTCACACGTCCTCACTGTGTCTCTGTGAACTGTCCTCTCTCTAAATGTGCCTGTAGAGCAACAATAGTTTATTTTCTTGTACATTTCTTTGACAGTTCAACATTTT